GCAATATACAGAGTTAGTTCAAAGTGCGTTTTATAGCAAAATACACTGGTTTACCTTGCTGATATGAATGGCAAACCATTCTGGGAGATAAACGTTATTTTTATGCAAAAAGTATGGGTTACGTTTTTTCTCGTAAACAAATTCAAACATTTTGCAACAAAAGATGATAGACACATCGGCTTTGTGTTAAAATGTGTATAGTAACGTATTCTTTCGAATATCGTAGCACATTTGTTCAATTACTCACAAATACGAAATGTTTGAGTTTGTTTAGAAGAAAAAACGTAACCTTTGTTTTTCGTATAACAATAACATTATCTTTCGGAATGGCTTGTGATACATGTCGGCAAGGTAAACATGTGTAGTTTGCTATAAAATGCCCTTTGAACGAACCCTGTATATTGCTCAATGAACTAGAAGTGATGTCCGGATAACAGTGTCTTGGGATAAACTACTAAAAATTCTCAGAAAACTACTTGACCGATATAATCCAATTTTGTTGTTGTTATTTAGAAGTATGAATCGTACGGGTTTGAAGAATTTCAAGTAGTTGCGTGGAATTATTGCCGCATTACTAATAAGTGCCAAATTGTTAAATGGAACTGAAAGATAAAGTTTGGATTATCTGTTGTGATACTACTGCTTCAAATACATTAATGCTGCCTGCGTGCTTCTCGAGCAGAAACTTAATAAAGGAATGCTTATTTTTGAATGCCGCCAGCACGTCTACGAATTGGTGCTAAAAGGCGTGTTTGAATCCAAGATCGACCAAGTGACTACAAGCCATGACATTCCAACGTTTAAGATGTTTCGCGAGAGCTGGAAAAGTGTGAATCCCGAGAAAATACAGACTTATACTGAAAAGCTCATGACTGAATATTTCGGAGAATGGCAAGCTGCTAGAATTTCACCGACATGAATGGACCAAAGAAGTTGCTAGAGGCGACAATCAAGAATTAATGAAACTTTCAATAGCATTCCTTGGCGGAGATACAGAGAAAAAATTTAAGATTCGACCGCCAGGAGCCATGAATCAAGCTCGATGGATGGTCAGAACAATGTCTTCATTAAAAATGGCGTTATTAGGTTCCCACCCCAAACTTTCTAATTAGGCTAAGGCCTGTTAGATGTCTGCCTGTTCATCGTGACAACACACGTGAATGGTTGCAATGCACTTTAGCGGTAAAAGCTACTAAACAGGATTTATTCTATTAAAAGGCAGTGAAGGCCTATGAATGAATTGACTAAACCATTTCAGAAGCAGCTTTAAAAAAGTTCTGCCAACATTTATGGTATTTGACACATGAGGCATCTGTCTTATCTCTATTAACGGCGAAGATCTTATACCTCAGATAGAGGTTACTTGCTCTCTGGTCGGAGGGAAAAAATCAGTATGATTAGATGGTAGCTATTCTTCGTTTTTTTCATTTCAGAGAAAAATATCGATGACTTTGTTTCAATCAAAAGCAAGTCCTTGTTCAGTCGACTCTATGGCCACATGATGATTTTTTTCAACACGCTAAGGATAAGGTCAAGCACTGAAGTGCAGTTAACGATACGGTAGAAGGAGCAGTCAAGTTAATGCAAGACTTACATGGCGTAATCACTGCTGATGAAGAACAAAAATAGTTCTTATTACATTGCGTAAAACAGCACATTCAGGCATATTCTGAACGTAAAAAGGAAACTTTAAAAAGAGAATTTAGTAAGTAATGTTCTTTTAATGACAAATATCTAAGAAATATAAGATACAAATAAAACAGTGTTTTATTTATCGAACAAGAATTAGGTTTTGAAATCCAATCCCTCTTAACTTTCAAATCCAAAGTTTGACAGAAGGTCGATACGGGTTATCGTGTCCCCATCGCCATAATATTTATTTTTTGAGTTGTTAGAGTCAAATAGTAAAAATTAGAGGATAGGCGTATCTCAATTTGAACAAAAATTTATTTGCTCTATATGTCTTGAGAAAGACAACCACAGAACAATTTGTAAGAAGAGGCAGAAGAGTTGTACGGTTGATCGTGCCTGGCGAATAAAAACTCATCAACACAATAATTTTAAGATGCATGTTGCGTCATAATAAGGATTACCATTGCATTGCATTTACATTTAAATTGTATTTAAGTGATAACTTTGTCCATTATCGTATTTTCATATTCAGATTACTTTTTACCGGATGTAGGTAAGTTTTAAGATATTTATCAGTTGAATGCGTGTCCAATGTGAAGACTCTATGATCTAGAGAGTCAAATTGTCAATTTTTCAAAACAATCCTTGTAGCATCGCAACCGTGTAAAATGTCAAATGTACATAGATACTTTTATTTGACTACATCAAGTTTACTTAAAAATTGCACTAAACAGTTGTAAATAAACCCCTTTTTACGTCTGCCACGACGAAGTAATGGTTCAGCCAAAAATTGTCAAATCCGCACGGAACTTGGTCAGTACTTTGTACCGATCGGTAGGGGCATTATGTATCTTGATAATTGACATTATGTCGGTTTTTTTTGAGGTTATATAGGATTTTTGTGACATTACGTCGGTTTTTATTCAACATATCAACTTAGCACTAGCTGTTGTACACTCGTTTTGTACTCGTTCCGTAGCTGTAGTACCAGCTGCTTAAACGTCATGATGCTTCAGCTGTCAATGTTTGGCTCTGATGTGATGTAATATCTGATTGAGAGATAGCATTATTGGAGGTCTAGGTGATAAGTTGTACACTATAGCTGGAAACAAACGGCAGTGCATAGGTGCACAGTGAGCACTGGTGTGCTAATAATCTGTGTTGATAATTTCATTGGTTTCGTGTCTCAAATATACTTTTTGAGATGTTTGCAAAGCTAAATATTATTTGCGCATCCGCTTTTCCTTATTCAACCTGGAACTCACATAAGCAAATCTGCTGAATTTAAAAAAGAGAACGATAAAAAAAAAGAAAATCACTGGTTGGTGAATTGGCGAGATTATATGGTACACCCCGGAATATTTATTAAACGTAAAATGTTTTTTTACGTGATGAGTCACTCGAAAATTTTCTATGATGTGTCTTAATTACACACAATGCGGATGTGATGCTGATTTCCCGTAATGCTGCTCAACGTTTTTTCAAAGGTAAAAAAACGGAGAAAATCTTCATCTGTGGCTTTAAACATAAGCTCTCTTCAGAACGGACATCACAAATATCCCGTCTGGCAAAGCTAATAGATATATTTCATGGACAGCATATTTAGTAACAATTTTGTCATATAGCAAATGTCACTGATTTTATACATACGCAGATCAATCATCCAGATCTGATCTTTGCTACTCTTCTACTCAACCACACAACTTTTCACAGTCTCTACATTAGGCCTCTCCAACTCAGGTGACCAGTGCGGTTGAGTGCAGCGCCGAGCGCCGCTCGCATCAAAGTGCTGCGGGGTGACTCCCGTGAAGGTGGGGGAGGGATTAGGTAGCGGCAGTCGCATCGCGATGAAGGTGTGCTGAACGTGGCACTCGGCGAATAGAAATGACCAGGGAGCTGATCACATTGAATATACCGCGGATTCGACTAAATCTAATAATAATATGTAGTTTTTAAGTTAATGAATAAGAAGGGCTCAGTAAAAGGTGCCCACAAATTAGCAACCACGTGCGTCATACACTTTTTTCATACATGTGTGACATACATGTATGTCAACAGATTTTGAGCCCAGACCTGCATACAAGATTGTTAAGCAAGTTAGTTTGAAAGGACATAATGATTCTCGAGGCATTTCTTGATCTTTTGTAAATAGCAATAAATCATAATACCATAAATGTGTGTTGTTTATTTCTTCTGACCCTCTGCCTGACCGTTTGGAATCTTCTATTTTCTTCATTTATCTTCTAAAGCTACCGCGGATGCAATTTATTTTAGCTTTCATACACTGTTTTGTACTATTTGGCTCAATTTCTTGTAATATTTTCTATAAAACTAAATAAGCTGCATCTTTCTTATTTCGATGCTTGTAATCATCACTTTTAGTTTTCCATAAACAAGAATAACCTTTGTAAAGTTCAATAAAATCCGCCAGAAAGCCTTTTGAAAAGTGTCTTACATCAGACATTGTCAAAAGCGACGACAAACTGATAATAAACACGCGAGACACTGTACCCAAAATGCATGCGTGAAGAAGACACACACCGACAATCTTGTTTGCAAATTCGTGTTTGCGCGTTGATGAATTCCGACTATTCTGGAAAACTTGTACGACGCACATGCTTGCGGCTTTCGCACCACACACCGGCAACCATCAACGCGCAAACGTGGTTGACATACATGTATGACGCACATGGTTGCTAATTTGTGGGCACCTTTAGACGGGGCGCATCCTGCCAGAAGTATATGTCACACCGACTTAAAGATGCAGCGTGTCAAGAGAATTTCACCGTCCTTACTGAATCCAATGAAGCCTACAAGGTTTGATGGAAATTTTATGCTCATTTGGAAAAACATGGTACGACAAACTTATTTCCAGAAGTTTCTGTTACAGGCAATGTAAATAGATAAAAATAATACATCTTGTTTGTATGCTTCATGCTTGCATTTAAAAGCTCATTTGAGTCTGTCAGTTTGACACCAGGCCACTAGATGTTTGAAATTATATGTAAAATGAATATGAAACGTCATGGCCGTTGATATACGTATAGCTTATGGTAAAAACCTACCGTCACGTTGTATCTTCAAGTCGATATGACAGGTACTTTCATCGGCATACCAGGCCCTTTTTGTTCATTTACTTAAAATCTACATATTATTACTAAGTTTAGTCGAATCCGCGATAAGGTTTAATTTCGCCGGCTCCCAGTCCCAACGGAAAATGAGTGGAGTGACATTCATATTGACATTTGAATTGCTAAAAATGATAAATTCTATGTCCTTTGAAAGGTATTTTGGACAATTTGCAAAGATACTTGGAATTACATCTGCCTTTAATTTTGGATACATAAGGGGTACAGTAATGGTCCCACCTGCCTTTTCGTCATGGAAGGTGGATTCCCAAATGATGCTGTCCTCAGCAAAGTGCAAATTACATACTCGGGTGTATTTTGTAAGCACTAAATCACTACAAGGGATTGCATTGAGCCATCTTTTACGACAGTTTTCGTTCAATGGAAACGAAAATACGTGTACCTTCGGACCGTTCCCGTAATTACCGACACAATTAGGAACGCAGCACTTGTAAGGCATTTTGAAAATTTAGCTAACATTCGCGAGTCACAAATATAAGTTTAAACATCAATAATGTTCAGTTTACATAGCATAGAAAGATGAGGCTCAGAATGTGAGGTTAGTTGGCAAGGTTGCCACATATTCCAATTTTGAATGGAATATTAGACTTCACAAGTGACAGATCGAAAATGTATTCTTGAAATACTGAGGCAGATTTCGATACTGCTATATTAAACCTAGATATGACAACACCCCAGAGAAATGGTGGCGCGGTGCTCTTGCCGGCCAGTCATCGCGAAACTCCATAAGAACATGCATAGGCCTACTCTGCTTGACGTCACAAGCTTTTCAGAGCCCAGTTGTTTGGCCTTGTACTCTCGGTGGTAACGGTTGTAGGGGGAACGGCACCGGTGCGGCAGGGTTCAGCACCGGAGTGCAACAGCACGAGTTGGAGAGGCCTGCTCTACATACGTACTATCTCGGCATTCTGCAACCAAGAAAGCATGACGGGGAACTTAGTTGCAGGTTACAGCATGGTCATTGAGTGTGTCGTGTAGTTGAGTCATTCCTGGATGCTTTTGACGACGCTCACAGCGCTCACAGTGGTGAGCAGTCGCCGAATGTACTATTTGCACAGTAGAAACTATCTAGGCAGTAAGTTGAAATTTTGTTGTTTTTTTGACGTTTAATTGTTTTTTACATAATAGCCCTGGCGGAAACCCCTATACGCCACTGCATCCATACCTTTAGCATGCGTGAGACACAGGTGAGGCATGCGTCTTTAGTTAAACATAGATTGTACCTATCCCCTGTTGCTGCGTGCTCCCTTGATGTTGTGCCTTTTCCACCATTGAGGATGCAATTACGAAATACTGCCTCTTCGAGACATTCATAGCAATCTAGATACAAGTTGATTCACATATTACGCAACATTCATAGCGTTTGCCTACTGTTCTAACTAGGTTTACCAACACATCCGCAACTCCTACGCTCATTAAATTTCATGGCAGGTTAAACGTGCTCCATTAGGCGCTAAAAGCTAAATGCTGCTGCAGATGCTTAAGAGCAGGTGATAACAAAAGTAAAATTTATATGGCCGGGCGAATACTTCATTATGAAACTGAGTTATATGATTCGAAATTCAATTTCCTAGCTGCTTCCTGAGAAGTGAGACGCTCCAAAATGAAAATTGATGAAACATTTTTAAATCAAGACATCATCATATCCTCCAAATATTATTCATATCCTTGAGGACTGCAGCATTTTTAAGTTATCCTCAGTATATTACTAACAATTACATATTTATATTACTTTTCAATGATACAAAATAAGAACACTCCTAAAATGCAGGTGTAAAAGACACTCATTCTTACTAATATTATAAATGAGAAAGTGTCTGCTGCTAAAATGGCTGAAGGGGTCTGGATGAAATTAGCCCAAACCACAGGAGAAGGGAGAGAAGGTAAATTGACATAGATAAAAGTAATATACACTTCACGCTAGATGATGCTATCAGCAGCTTGATACAATTCTCGTTTGATGTTCTGTTGTTCTACGACTTCCACGATGCAATACAAGTGAGTACTTTTAGTTAAGGTAGTAATCTACTTTCATATATAATGCATTAAGTATTCATGCATTATTTCCAGAATAGTTCAGACAAAAGAATATTGCTTTGTCAAAGGACGCAATCATCAGAATTTTACAATACCAAATCCAAGAACCTCATTCATTATAATCTAATAATTGGTAGCAACGAGACAGGCAATTACAGATTTAAGAAGTTGTCAATTGAATCTTGGATTATGTGTGTGAATGAGATTTTTCTACTGATGAGGTAGAGTTACTGAAAAGTGAAGATTACGCGTGCTGCCAACGAATGTTCTATTTGTATTTGGTTTATAACCTGTTTTCTTCAAATCACAAAATACACTTTTGATACACAACTAAAACAAGTGAATTTATTTGTTTAATTCTTTTCGTAATAATTAGAATTCATGCATCGAACGTTTTCGCACCATATTCCACTAGCACCGTTCCTTTTTTTTAAACACTGGCCTTTCGATATAAATTAAGGTGTTATGTGATCGAAACGGTTTAAAGGAATTTGACATGAGGTTTCTCGCGCGGAAGCGCCCAGTCGCTTTTCCCACCGAAATGAATAAGGGTATATAAATAGGGCACTTGCATCGTGCATTTAACAGCATTTAGACATTCGTTCTCTCAGGGTGAACGAAGGCAGAAAATGTTCGCACAGGCTTCTAAAATAGCTTAAGTTACTCAAACATTTATTTTAATTTCTTTGTTTTCATTTTGAGTAGAATTATTTATTTCTATTTTAGTGCAACTTGATGTTTTAATTTGTTATAGAATTATCTTTCATTTATTCCGATGGTGTTCCTGAGTTATTGTTAAGTTTTGCGACAGCGAGTGGTCGGGAAATGAAACAAATACCATTACGCAATACAAATTATCACTGCCTGCGTGTACGCAGGTGAAAAATATTTCGATGCACGACGGCACTCTCCTACTGACCCAAATCGATCATCTATGGTCATGTAGGTGGAAACATTGCCTTGTACGAAATGCGGTGTTGCCAAGCGAGTTAGTGATGCAGTGATACAGAATTTGTGGCGGTCCTGATCTTTCATTTCGGCCTAGAATGGAGAGCCACTAGGACCGATCCGGAATCGGTCCTAGACAGATTAGACGCAATTAAAAAATGAGAACGCGCAAAATGGAACCGCTGCTTGGGCGTATAGAATAAGCTAATGATGGCTTCTACTTCTTTCTAACATTATGTGTCTATACACACTTCTTTCTCGTACATATTGAAACCAAGCCATCAGACAAATTTGGTTCGCAGTGTATGAATGTGATTGTCTAACAGGTGTGCCAGCATCGCACCTTAACCACAATACGGAGATACGTAAAGAAATTATACACTTGCTAAATAATACCCAAGGCATCTTGCAATCAACTATTAACCTGTGACTGTCAAGAAATTTTATGTCGAATTATCTGTTACCCCCAACTTCGTGTACTCTTGAAACTGCTACTTTGGTTCCTTTAATAGTGGCGGCACTCACACGTTCCGCTAAAGGAGCAAGCTAAGCAAGAATATTTACTATTTATCTAACTTATGATATAATGAATTCGTTCAGGGATTCTTCAAAGACTCAATAAAAAAAAATTGGATAAAAATATATTCTCAAGTTTAGATTTCTTACTGTTCCCAAAATTTCAAATAACTGGAATATTGACGCTGCTGCTTCAACAAATAAGTGACTACTTATTTGTCAACAAAAATATGTTAACATATGACGTTATAAAATCTTCCATACACAGGGTGGCCATTCCATGTGTGGACGGAATATTACTCATAAATAAATACATTTTGAGAAAATCTACTTATGGCACGTTATACATGACATATTAGGGCACATTTCTAACATATTGGCAATTATACCGGGTATCCCAATTTTGACCTACATATCAAAGTTTTTTATTGCATATTTGGATAAACCAATTCAAAAGAAGGAGATTGATATAACATACTCTGGGGTTCTGGTAATTACCTACTGAGATGTAAGGTGTTTTGTCCAGAACAACCGTCCCAATTCGGCAACCCCTAAATCCGCCACTTTGAAATTTGAAGTGCTGAATTTTGTATCAAAAAAAAAACTTACACACCTCAGCTTTAATCTTAGTTGTTACTTTTTTGAATTTCCATTTATGCTCATACAGGGTGGTCAAAACGCGAATTGTACCTTTTCTCAAAAATTTCAAATACATCACCCTGTATATTTGTGCAAGTTTGGATTCAATTTTTTATAAGCTTTTTTTGGTATAAGGTTTGATTCAGATAAAATCGCTGGATTTTGAGTTATTAAGCTTTTAATAGAACAACACACCAAAATTAAAGGAAAAATCACATCCTCCATGGAAACAAAAGATAAATAGTAGGCTAGTTCCATATTGCCACTAAGACTACAGATTTGATGTAAAAACTAATAACAATCAGAACAGTATAAATCAGCTTTCAAGCGTAATATAGAAAACAACTACAACAACATAAACAAACGACTATCACTACTCAAGACCTAATCTACAAAGACTGCTCGAAAATATCTCCACCATGTTGAATACACAGCCGTAGTCTTTGGATAAATGACCATTGCACATCCCTCAGCATGTGTTCCCTTATGTTCAGAAAAGCATCCTTAATCCTTTCCTTCATATTTTCCGGGGTAGATGGTGGTTATCTATAAACGTTTTGCTTAACGTAGCCCCATAGAAAGGAGTCCATCGGTGTTATATCTGGTGATCTAGGAGGCCAAGGTATAGGCCCATCACTACCGGTCTCACGATTGTCACTTAAGGTGCCTAAATAGTTACGCACACGATTATGATAATGCGCAGGAGCGCCGCCATGTTGAAAGTACATATGCATCTGAGTTTGCAGGTTGACAGCCTATAAAAGCAAAGGCAAATGCTCAATCAAAAAATTCAAGTACAATATTCTGTAACTCTTAATCTGTTGTCGAAAAAGAAAGGCCCGATAACTTGCCTGCCAATAACACTTCCCAAACATTCGAGCTCCACTTATTTTGGAAATCTCTTTGCCTAGCCCAGTAAGGGTTTTCTGTTGCATAATAGTGCATGTTATGCCTGTTGACAACACCTATGCTGTTGAAAGTGGCGTCATCGCTAAACAGAACCTTATCCAGGAAAGGAGTGTCTTCACTCACTTTACTTAGCATTATTCTACTAAAAAACTTCATTCGAGCTGCGAAATCCTGAGGACGAAGACCTGCTCCAATTTGCCGTGCACTTAAATGGGGATTTTCCTCCAACTTTAATAGAACCTCCAACTGATTCGTCTCATTGGTGGCAGTTGGATTATTTATGCATTTCTTACTATATTCCACTGCGCCACTTGATATTAGGGTACCGTTGCTTATAAATGCGTCATGCTAGGAAACTATTTCTTTGGGCGTCGCCCAAAACGAACACCATATTCACCATTTCTTTAGGAAAATTCATTTTCAAACACGTTTCTGACATTTTGTAGTTAATCAACAATTTATTTATTTGCAAGGATAATAACCGAAAAAATTGCCGTAAAAGTCCTTATGTGTCTAGTATCAAAAAATTTTATCCAAACTTGGACAAACATACAGGGTGATGCATACGAAATTTTTGAGAAAAAACT